TGTGTGTGTGTGTGTGTGTGTGTGTGTGTGTGTGTGTGTGTGTGTGTGTGTGCGCTAACCAGGCTGCGAGGTGTCTGTCTGTCCCCTCTTGGCACGAAGGCAGTACTCCCAGCGAACGTCTGGGTCCTGAACAAAGCGTGCGATATGGCTGAAGAGCTGGCTGAAGCTCATGCTGGTGGCGTGGTACACTGTGTAGTACAGCAGAGCGGCACGCCACAGGTATGGCTGCTTCCGGAGCAGCACACTGTGCAGGCTGGCAAGGCCTTCCTCCGTGGGATTGGCTGGTTTGAGGCCAAACTGCTTCCTGCCCTCTGAGGTGGACCACGGCTGCATATTGTTGTTTACGCCTCGCAGATAATGTGTGCCTGAACAGAAAAACACTGACGCTGAATCATTAAGACTGACAACAACACACATACCATCTACTAGTTATTGTTGTTGGTTTTTTTTTTTGCCTAGTCAGTTTATCTTTCTCTGCCTCCCCTAACTTTGCAGAAAGATGTTTAGTTATASTGCATGGATCACCAAATGTATAAATTATTTTAATGTTGAAAAATATTAAGACAAACTACAGTGAATGTAAAAAGTCTACCCATTCTGGTTAAGTTCTAGGTWTGTTTGGTGCAAAAAAAGAGAGAYTAAGATGAATTATTTCAKAACTTTATCCACCTTTAATGGGAGCTATAATCTTTACAACTCAATTAAAAAATTTTTGAGGTAAGAGTAAAAAAAAAAACTATAATAAGGGGGTTGCATAAGTACAGAAGAGAATTGCATTCACCAAATAAAAGATAATTAAATCCCTGATCTCCTGATTACAAAAAAATATGTCATAATTACATAGCCATAGCATCCCGTCCTTCAGGAATAGAGCGACTTCCAGCATGTCAAAGTGGGTTTTTAGCTTGAACAACAGCAAGGAAGATACCTGAGTAATGTCCACATACTAATATTAATGCCATCTGTAATGTTTTGTTTGGACTGTAATGAAAYGGACTCTTATTTTGAAATATCCAGTTACTGAAACCAGATGTACCACTATCGGTTAGGGAAGTTGAGTGCTGGTTTTATATTTGTGACAGAGCTGAATTAAACAGAACACTTTAACTGGTGTGCAGGTGGATTTAATAACAAACTGGCAGACACAACACCATCCACATTAAGTAAACTCAATATTTTCCACCGTCTCTTATCAGAGGATATAAAAACATATAAAAACCTATAGCACCATCATTGTTCACTTTTTTGTGTAGATCAGCTATGACTCTCTTTAACTTTTCTCATAATTATAACATWATGAAATCATGAGTCTAATTTTTTTTATTTGGTGAAGTGTGTCTTAAACTAATACTTTGTTGAAGTACATTTAGACTTTATTACAGTAGTCAYTCTGGTTTAGAGTCTACCAGCATGACACATCTTGATTTAGCAATCTAATCTAATATTGTCTGTCTGCACCTGGGAAGAGAATAACAACAAGGTGCACTAATGATCTGTCCTGACTTCTTCATTGTATATCTTGGTCTGGTCAGCCAGTAACCACCTCAGAAAGACAGAGTAATCTGTGGCCTGCAGCGCCAAACTGGTGAGGAGCTAAGACCTGGTGATTACCCTGGTTAAGCCATGCCAGCTAATCCAACTTCATAACATCTTTTCCACCTGCTGTTACTAAATAAACTTACAGTCTTGTTAATTAACATAATGTCCTTTAACCAAATTCTTGAAGTAAACCATTTATCAAATAGTAAAACTTTTTTTTAATTCCTGCATAGATTGAAATCTACAAAATTCCTGTCCGAAGATTTATTTTATTTTACATAAATGAGAATTAATTCTTGAAGATCAATTATTGCTTCATCTTAAGGGCTCGACACACGGGGAGCGACAAACTACAGCGATTAACGGCTGTCATCGCAGCCAGGGTGAAACTCGACACACGGGATGCGATAGCGATCGCAGCGTTGTGAATCGCGTCTCTCAGGTCGCTTGTCTTCACGAAATTTGATTGGTTCTTGACTCTGAAGGGGGTGTGCATTACGGACGTGTAAACTAAACAAATCTTGCAATGCTAATGATTTTGAAAAACAAACACACATCAAGATACAGTTTTA